ATACGGTCATTAGTTCGATATTGCACCAATCGCTCGACTAATTTAGTCAGTGCTATCTGACGACTATATATCATATCTAACTGAAATATTCAGTACAGTTTAACCAACCAAACGAGACCTAAGTCTCTGCTTCATCGTATAATGTTATATATATATGGGTTAAACTCTGTTTTCTACCCTCATATTTCGTGATTTTCAACATTTAGTACATTTAGTACATTAAGTTTTTTTCGTCCCAGAGTCATACCTAAAGTGTAAATTTTGGGACAGTCTCATACATCCATTAGTCAAACTGTTAAGTCTCCTATTAAGTGATGACGTGGTGCTCATGTGGACAATGACTGGGCGCCATGTGTCATTAAGGGGTCCACATGTTTCTTTTTTTTTTTTTTTTTTTTTTTTTTTTGCTTTCTTTCTTTCTTCTCTTCAAAGGTGATGTGGAATTTTTTTTTTCTCTCTTTCTTCTTCTTCTTCTTCTTCTTCTTCTCCTTCTCCTTCTCCTTCTTCTTCTTCTTCTTCTTCTTCTTCTTTTTCTTCTTCTTCTTCTTCTTCCTTTCTCCCTAGAATCCCCACCTCCCACCAGCTGATTTGCCTTTCTGGACCAACCCATTTTCATCCTCGACCCTAAAAATGGGCAAGTGGACGTAGTCCCAGTGGTCAACGTCCTCCAAAAGATTGGCAGGACCTTGTTGTCCACCTCCACATCGAACTCGTACACCACAGAATGCCCCACCTGCGCATCCCTCAAATCGAACCCCGACACCTTCAAATCTTCCACTTGAAACCTTCACACTTGGTTTTAAGAAGACAAAACCTAGAAAATTCGAAGCCAGCCCCAGATTTGCTAAAACCATCGTTGCTCCAGCGGTTCAGGAACTTGGCCCTGTCCAATAGCCTAGCAACAATTGCCATGGAAATGCAGCGGTGTAATTCCAGGCATCGCGCAGACTGCCGACGATGGTGGGTGCTTGGTGTGCAACGGTGTTGTTTTGAACATTATGTTAGATCTAGGGGTGATAATCAGGTTATTGGGGACGATAGGAGGTGACTTCGGTGGCGGCCATGGAAAGAGAGGGATGAAGGGATAGAGGGAGGGTTAGGTGGTGTAGAGAAGAGTCAGGAGGGAAGGTTGGGTGGGAGCGTGGGTGAGGGTAGGCGAGGCCCATATTTAAAAAAAAATATTATTTGACTGTGGATGATAGATGATGATGAATGCAGAAGAGATAGGTGAGGGTTACAGAGGAGATGGGTGGGGGTTGCAAAGGAGATGAGGAAGGGTGGGGGTTGCAAAGGAAAGAAGGAAGGGAAGGGGTTGGGGGAAGGTAGGAGCTTGATGATGGAGGTGTGGTGGTTGCAGCAGAGGGTGGAGAGTTGATTGACATTTAGGATTTGAACATATGGGTGGAGGTCGAGTGATGGTGAGGTGGAGTGATGGTGCGTTGGTAGGGTTTCGGAAATGGGTTGGTCTAGAAAGGCAAATCGGTTGGTGGGAGGTGGGGATTCTAGGGAGAAAGGAAGAGAAGAAAGGAAGAAGAAGAAGAAGAAGAAGAAGAAGAAGAAGAAGAAGAAGAAGAAGAAGAAGAAGAAGAAGAAGAGGAGAGAGAGAGAGAATTCCACATCACCTCTGAAGAGAAGAAAGAAGAAAAGAAAGAAAAAATAAAATAAAATGACACGTGGCGCCCAGTCATTGTCCACATGGGCGCCATGTCATCACTTAACGGGAGACTTAACAGTTTGACTCACGGATGTATTAGACTGTCCCAAAATTTATACTTTAGGTATGACTTTGAGACGAAAAAAACTTGATGTAGTAAATGTTAAAAACCACGAAACATGAGGGTAGTAAACATAATTTAACCATATATATATATATATATTTCTAATTCAATCACCAGCCTACAACATACAAAATTAATTAATTACACAATTAAACCAAAAATATTAACAACTAAAAAAATCTTAAATTAATTGGGAGAGTGAGAGAGTGAGATATGGGTGATGAGGTGGGTGGGTGAGAAAGAGAGAGAGAGAGCAAATATATGGAGCATAGATGAGAACTGGGAAAGACATAAGAAACGAGAAGGAGAAGGCCGCATGACCTATTTTAATGAATTGGGGTTTGCTTGATGAAATGGTTCATCAGGCAAAGTCACTAAAGTAGTAGAACAAAAATGTATTGGTACAGTTAGGACAAGTCATCGTGGGTTTTTGCCTGACAACCATACACTTAGTCCAACCAATATTTCGTCAGGCATTATTACATTTGTAGATGAACTTGTTTTCTATTGTTCAAAGGGTGGCATAATATGGGCCAATTTTTTCCTTGCCGCGAAACTTTGCTCGTCGAAATTTTTCGTTGCTTAAAGTCTTTGAAAAAAAAAAAACCATTGGCCATATTTTCCTAATCAGTTTTTTTTGTCACTTAAAATTACTTTGCCTGACAAAATTTAGTTCGACAGGCAAACTATCGTCGGGCAAATGGTAATTTCAAATTGTATCATGACCATACAATGCATTCAAATGCAATTCATGAATTTATGATTTTTTTTTTCAATATTAAAATTACTTTCATAAAGAAATATAAAAATCAATATTTATATTTCTAGAATGTATTCCGTAATGTATAAAACAGTATGAGGAGTTCTAAAATAAACCACGAAAATTATGTAGTATGTTTCCATCAACAATTAGTTGGATAAGGTGCTACTTAGTGCTACGGTTTAGTGATATTATTCTTTATTCGTAAGCGAGATTTTAGGTTTAAATCTTGATAATGACGAGTTTACAACCAATTTATTCTATTACTTCCTTAAAGTATAAATATACATTGTCATATTAAAAAATAATTAGTAAAATAAAGTAGGGATAATATTTAAGTACTCACTAATAAATATTCTATGTATTTACTTTTTTATTTGATTCAATTAAATTGTTTTACACATTCCTTATTTTTTAAAGCTCGAGAAAAATAAATAATATCTCTTTTGAACAAAATAAAAAAGTAAATACTCGTAAATGGAGTATTCAAATTTTATCCGTAAGAAAGAGCTGGAATTTATGTGTCAAAGACGGCGAACCTACTGACAACTGACCCACTAACTAAATAATTACCCAAATAAAAAAAATAAAAGAAGTTTCATGGAGAAATTAAGAAAATAAAATAGGAGTAGGATTCTCTCTCCTCTTTTTTTTCTTCCCTTTCCTCTCCTTCTATTTGAACGGTCAGGTTAAGCCACGTCAACATCTTATATTAATTTGTTATAGCAAAAAAAAAGACAAAATAAAAGAATATAAGAAGAGGGGATGAAAGATGATGACAAAAAGAAGAGGAGATAATTCTAGTCCAATAAAATAAAGGTTAGCAAACTTGCAGCTGGTGCAATTATCTTCGGGATGCCACTTTATTCAGGTAGCTAACACCCCTTTTACCTTGATTCTAACAATCCACATGCGCCCATCTGCACACTCTTAATACAAAAGGTCAAAAAATTATATTGGAAAAATCTAAATAAAAAAATAAATCATTTAAAAATTCATAAATACTTTTGTGAGAATAAAAAATAAACATTTCGTTTTCTGCCAAGATTCTTGACCCAGGCAGACCCACCCAGTTGTTGCAACAATTCCTAAACCCCCTTTGGCTTCCTTGGCTACCGAACAAACACCCTTCATCCCTGGAATCATTCATTCTGGAAACTCAAGCAATCGAAATTCGAATGGCAAGGGCAGCCCAAGTGGAGGGAGAGATGTTACAATGGGGTATATCATGTATTATAATATAATTAGAGATGCATCAAATTCACTGTCATGTGTCGTTCTTACTTTTTATTCAATAATACAATATTATATGTTGAAAACTTACACATATCATTATTTTATTAGAACAAGATGTCATGATGCCAGTCTGCCAGTTTCATGTAAGACATTCTCCTATCAATTAGACATATCAATCCTCACTTTACTTGTATTATGGTACGCAGTATGCCACATGTTTTGTACACGAAAAATTTTCCCAAGTGGAAGTGGGTCTGGTTTTAGGATACTTCCAAGGTTTTATGTGTGTTGTTTTTGGACAAGGATTGTCTGCCCTCCACTTCTGATGCCCTCCTCGTGCCTTCCTGTTTGTGTGGTCACGGTTAAGGCATGTCAACATTTTATATTACTATTCATTTTTGTCTTATTATATCTAAAAAAACAATATAAAATGTTGACGTGACTTAACCGTAACCACACAAAACAGGAGGGCACGAGGAGGGCACCAAAAGTGAAGGGCAGACAATCCTTGTCTGTTGTCTTTGTGTTAGACAATGACAGCTCTTTGCAACTCAATCATGTATTAAGCCTGACATCAATTATTTACCAATTTTTTTCTTTTGTTTCCTGCAAAGAAATTTCCAACACCATTCCCAGGACAAGGATTGTCTACCCTCCTACTTCCGATGCTCTCCCATGCTCTTTTGTTTGTGTGATCACGGTTAAGTCACGTCAACATTTTATATTACTATTCATTTTTGTCTTATTACCTCTATAAAAAAAATATAACGTGGCTTAACCATGACCACACAAAACAGGAGGGCACGGGAGGGCACGAGAAGTGGGATAGCAGACAATCCTTGTCCTCATTACCATTCCCATTCCCACCTGTACTTTCCTCATCGTTCCTTCTTGGTCTAGTTTTATTTTTGCCCATCTTCTTGGTCTTGTTAAAAAATTGCTTTCTAAATCTTTATTGTGATCTGGAATTTTCTCCCTAAGTAGTTTAATAATTTTTTTTTAACAAATGATATTATCTCTCTTTAGCAATAATATAGTCCAAATATGTTTTTGTCGAAAATCAAACTTAAAACATCTTACTTAAAAATATAAAAAAAATACTACTAGATCGTAATAGTTAAAGAACAAAAATAATAAAATCCAAGCAATGTTCCCAAAACCGGTTCCTTTCCCTCCTTTTGGGTTTTATTTCGGTTGCATTACATATATTTTATTTACCTAATAAATTATGTTGTTTGCTCTTCTGGGTGGGTTTGGTGATGTTCTTTGTCATTAATGTCATTTGTTTAAACCTCCTTGTTAAATTCTTTTTGTTGATGATTTGATATAATTTGAATATAAAACTTGGTGTGTGGGGTGCCCTCTAATTTTCTCCTTTTTTTCCTTTTCCTGAAAAAGATGTTCACCGTTATTACTGCCAAAAGCTCTCACATACCATTACCTCAATAATCTTGTGTTCTGCAATGCATTGCGTTTTCTGTGATTAACCCTTTCTTTGGTAACAAATTTCATTTACTTCTGACGTTTCCTCACGTTTTCGTACCCGTCAAAATCCTCAGATCAAATTCTTGGAACTAAGAAAAAAAATTAGGAAAAACCCTTTTTCTCCATCTGGGGATTGAGAAAAACCCTTATTTTTTTTCTTCCCTTTTAGTGATTTTCTCTTCTGGGTGTTGAAAATTGTTGAATTTTCCATCTGGGTTCTGGAAAAAAACCATTTATTGTGCAGTGTTCGTGTGTTAATGCGTGAAAGCTTGAAGCTTTTTCATCTGGGTTTGGAATTTTTACCTCTGATGCCAATTGGGGGCGTCCAAAATGGCGAATCTTGTCCCTGGCGTTCTCCTCAAGCTGCTACAGCATATGAACACGGATGTCAAAGTCGCCGGCGAGCACAGGTCGTCTCTGTTGCAAGTGGTGAGCATTGTTCCGGCGCTTGCAGGCGGTGAGCTTTTCCCAAACCAAGGTTTCTATCTTAAGGTATCAGATTCCTCTCATGCCACCTATGTATCTCTCCCTGATGAACATGATGATTTAATTCTCAGTGATAAGATTCAACTGGGTCAGTTTATTCATGTCGACCGGCTTCAGGCTGCCACCCCGGTCCCCATTCTCCAGGGGGTTAGGCCTGTGCCAGGGAGGCACTCTTGCGTAGGGAGCCCTGAAGACATCGTTGCAACTCATTCTCTTGGTTTTCTGAACAATAATTCGTCTTCGGGTTCGAAAACTTTAGAGAAAGTACAGTCTGAGTATAAGGTATTAGGAAATAGTCATGCCGGAGAAAGGGATAAACATGGACTAGTGAGGTCGAATAGTAGTGCTAAGGCGGATAAATTGGATAAGAAAATAGGGTCTTTTGACAGATCAAAGTCTCAGCCATCAAAACCTGCATTAACAATAGATATGAAGAGGGAACCTTTGCCGAGAATGAAGTCATTGAATTCACGGTCTATCCCGTCATCTCCATCAAGTTGTTATTCTTTGCCGACTTCTTTTGAGAAATTTGCAAATGGGATCAAGCATCATGCAAAAGTTAAGGGAACACCAAAGGTGGGAGTGGTGGAAAGGGCAAGTTCTGTACATGGGGCGAGTCCCGGGAGGAGATCAGTGGTGGGAAACCCAATAAAGAATTTTGTTCAGGGGTTTGAGCTGGAGGCCAAGGCCCTGAGGAAGAGCTGGGAAGGAAATATGGAGGGGAAGTCTAAAGAGATGTCTGTAAGTTCAATAATTCTTGAATCTTGAATTGGAATTTGTGTCAATTTAGGTTTTACTGGATGTTTTTTTGTGTATATGTAAGTTTGGTTGATTTTTTTTTATTTGTTTGCTGTATTTGATAATGATTTCTTTGGAGGCCCCGTTTGGTATCCTTCTTGGATCCAATATTTTTCAAACTAATGATTACTAAGTACTTTAGGTGCATTCATCATTTTTTTTAAACCATAAATCATTTTCAAATTGATACGAAACACCCCACATTTTCCCATTAGGTGGATCTTCAAAGAGAAAATTTTGATTTGGAGATAAGCAACTCAAAATTAAATGTGCCTGCATTTACGAATTGTATTTGAAAACTCTTTTGTCTTTTCTCACTGATTTTCATTTGATCTTGTTGTAGTTCCAAAAGATGTGGAAAGTAATTCAATGTTAGGTATTATTTTTCCTCTTATATCTAATATTAGAAAGAAAAAAAAACCATTTTGCCAGGCTCCTAGAAAAAGTATCTCAACTGAAAGGTTGCCATATAAAGAGGACAATAGGACCCAGATATCTGCAAAGTCATTGAAAGAGGAGAGTAAAGTTCAAACGTCAACAAAGAAATTTACAGCAAATGGAACTTTGAGTGATCTAGACAGGTCAAGTAAACTTAGAGTATCTGTTGGAAAGAAATCTTCAGATGTAGCCAGTAATGGATTTCCTGGAAACTTGTTCAGGGTTTCCTTAAATAACAGAAAATTGACTGATGGAGTTCCATGGGCTTCGCTCCCATTGTCAGTTGCAAAGCTTGGTAAGGTATATCTTTTGTAACATCTTAGATCTTGGTAATTGTCTCTGCATAAATCGTTATTTTCCTGCCTATTCAATGTACTACAGTGTTTTCCTTCTGAAATTACATTACTTAGAGACTGCTGAAGTGAACTAGAGAATGAAGTGACCAGATATCTGTTGTCCCATATTGTTCGTGCATATAGGGTTATGAGTTTGTGTTAATTTCTTAGTTTTTGTTCTGCTTTCTGTGCATTGTCTTTCTGACCCTAGTTTCTTAAATTAGGAGCCAAGTTAGTGAATGGGAATTTCCTTTTTCAGTCTGAGAAGGATATTAACTTTTACCTTAGGAATGAATTTTAGTGACATCTTTTCTGGTATCTGAAGATATATTATGTTCTACAGCTCAGCACTTCGTTTTTCTTATTATATACTTTTGAATCTGTTATCACAGGAAGTTATGAGGCACAGGGATGCTGCACAAATGGCAGCAAAAGAGGCGATGCAGGAGGCTTCTGCTGCAGAGAACTTACTACGATGTTTGAGGTATTAAGTTATAACTACATCGTATTGTGTTTGTCCATTCTTTTCCATAATATATCTGAGTACAACAAATGAGTCGAATTAAGGAAGTGAAGTTGTATATGATATAGTTATTGGACAATAAAAATGGTTGGACATTCAAACCTAGAAGATATGGAACAGTCAATAGAACTTTCTGAGTAGCGTAGTGTTATGTTTATTTTTTTAGTAGTTATTGACAGTATAATGCACCTCTCCCAGACCCTGCGTAAAGCGGGAGCCTTGTGCACTGGGTACGACGATCTATTGACAGTATAATGCAAAGATATGATCCATAGGGAATCCATGAGTCAGCTAGATCGCTTCAATTGCGTTTTTGTTGATAGTATATAGACTGATTACTTTCGTAATATACTCTTATGAGATGCTTGCTTGCTCGTTAGGAGCCATCCATGGAGTTCTTTAACTCTTATAGGATCACTTATGTAGTAACTCTTACTGTATAGATGGCTCAAAATTGTAGTTTGTTTGATAACACTGCGAAAATACATGAATTGTGATATCAGTAATATACTCAAACTAGGTCCGGGAATGATGGATTATAATTTCGAATAATTAAAAGATACCCAGAAGTGACCATTTCAACACCTTGACATGATCAAGAAAAATGCAGCTTTATAAAACATGCTTTTGTTAAACTAGGTGGTCAGCACATAAGGGTAGAGTGTTTTACCCAATCTAATAAGTTTTCAATAACCTGTTATTCGGCCGTCCGTGCTTTATGGTTTAGAGAGAATTTGTTGTACAATCAAGAATAGCCTGTGCTTGAAATAGGACACTAGAATGTGGGTGAAAGTTTGATTTGTACTTTGGAATGAATGGCACAGATGCTTAGGTATCGAAAGCTTTTTAATAGGGAATTTGGGAACATCAAACTAGGGGAAAATGCAATCCTACAGTATTTTCTAGACATTTTGTACTCAATTATGTGAATTCTTCGATAGCTCTCTCATGTTTCATTTATACTTCTAATTGTGACCAAGATTAATCTGCGTATCCGTGACTTTTTCCATTGGGTTTTTTTTTGTGGAGGCATGATGTTTCCAGAATTTTATATGATGTGAATTTTTCCATGGTTCTTGTCTAAGTACTCTAGTTCATTGTCTGACAATTTTTTGGTCCTTTTTTCCTCTGTCCTGCAGCATGTATTCAGAGCTAAGTACCTCTGCCAAGGAAGACAACCCTCAGCCTGCAGTAGAGCAGTTTCTTGCCCTCCATGCTAGTTTGAGTAATGCTCGCGTAGTTGCTGATTCTCTATCCAAAATCATGCCAGCTGGTTCTTCCCCAGACCGTGAAGAAACCCCCCCATCAGAAGTACTGAAGGTAGCTTCAGACAGACGTAAACAGGCAGCATCTTGGGTACAAGCTGCATTAGCCACCAATCTGTCATCTTTTGCTGTATTTAATAAAGAGTCCAGTTTAATCTCTGTTCAAGCTTCAGCTTCCTCTCAAAACCAAAAGATTGTCTCTGCAAATCAACCCGTGTTAGTTCTAGAAAATTCTACAAAGAATGCTTCAACAAAATCCCAAGGCAAACTTCGCCAGACGGTGGGTTCCAAGCTTGGGACACCAGGGACCCCTCGCCGACTAGGGGATGGATCAGTCATCAATCAAAAGCCGCAGGCACGACCTCTGCCTGAATGGAATAAAGGAAATGGCCTGGACGAGGTTGTTGACTTGGCTGAAAAGTTGCGACTGCAGTCACAAGCTTGGTTTTTGGGATTTGTGGAGAGGTTCCTAGATGCTGACGTTGACAGTTCAGCTCTTTCAGATAATGGACAAATAGCAGGAATGCTAACTCAGCTCAAGAGTGTGAATGATTGGTTGGATAACATTGGTTCTATTCAAGAAGGGGTTGAAACAACCGATGTTTCAGCGGAGACCATTGACAGCCTGAGGAAGAAGATCTATGAGTATCTTCTCACACATGTTGAATCTGCTGCCGCTGCACTTGGCGGTGGATCACAGTCATCACCTCGAATCCAAACACTAGATACAAAACTTAGAAAGTGAGTCGTTTAAAGTGTAGTTTGGCTGTGCGGGTTTTGGTGTCTGGCGTTGCATAAATGCAGCACCAAATGCCCTGAGAGCTGTGCCCTTTAACCACCAAGTGGTCCTAGGCGCTTATTGTGTTAATCTGTGTATATAACTTCACATGGGGTTTGAGGTATAGATGGAAGGGTTGTTACTTTCGGAAAGGGATCCTCCGGATCCCTTCTCCCTAATCCATCAAATCAGGGGATTTGTGCCATTGAAATTTGATCCCTGATTTGGTGGATTAGGAGAAAGGGATCTGGAGAGGATCCCCTTCCACTACTTTCAGGAGGGAATTTGATTTGAAGTGCGATGTCATTTTTTTCTTCTTCCATCGTTTGATGCAGTTGTCCCTGAAACTTTATGAGATTGAAAAAATTGTAAAGAGGGAAATTTTTTGTTTCTTACAGCATCAATGCCTGTTTCCAGATTTTATGAAGCATTGAAATTGTTTCTACACATTGGGGATTCTGTTTGGACTTCCAAAATCAATCGATTGGCCTCTTTCTACTTTTTGTTTCTTTTTTAGCGCAATCCTCTTCAATTGACCACCACGCTTCATGTTCAAACCCTCTTCTTCTTCTTAGCGTAGATTAGCTTGTATCAAAAGGTTCCTTGAGAGAAGAAACTGAGAAAATTATGAATAGGGGAAGGAATTAGTTGTTCCCATTCCTGGATTTTAAAGGTATTCGATTATAGATTTAATACCTTTTAGGGTGCGTTTGATTGTACTCACTAGCGTTCATTGGACTAGACTAGACGAAATATGTCACACCCCAAAAACGGGCACGTAACAGTGCCACGCTCTATTAGCAACACAATATTATAGTGTTAAAATTCAACACTATACATTACTGTAGACATCGAAATTTCGGTAAATAAATGTTGACCGATAAATCAAAGTGTCAACGCTCATGTATTACATAAATTTTACACGTAGCGTGTGACTCAATGAAAATTGAAATGAGTTGGAAAAGTCATCAAATAGGACACATGTCAACACCTCGCAGAAACGACTTATTTCATCTGGAATATTATATTCAAAATTAGGCTTTGGAAAATTCTATAAATACAAGCCCATTTCATTCATTTGGGGGAGGGAACCAAAATCATTAGGCAAAACTCTTGAAGCTCTGAAGCTCTGAAACTCCGAAGCTCTCAAGCATCCAGGTTCCCGAAGAATCAAGAAAGCGTTCTTCGTTCATCGTTCATCCTAAGATCAAGCCCCAACGGCCCTTTGGATCAACAATCATCCACCAATTCAAGATCAAGCCCCGACGGCCCTTGAAGAAAGTGTTCTTCGTTCATTGTTCATCGTTCATCCAAGATCAAACCCCAACGGCCCTTTGGATCAACAATCATCCACCAATTCAAGATCAAGCCCCGACGGCCTTTGAAGAAAGTGTTCTTCGTTCTTCGTTCTTCGTTCTTCGTTCTTCGTTCATCGCTCTTTCAAGATCAAGCCCCGACGGCCCTTGAAGAAAGCACCATCGTTCATCATCCGTTCATCCAAGATCAAGCCCCAACGGCCCTTTGGATCAACAAACGTCGACAAATCCACACACATCCAACCGTTCTTCAAGATTAAGCCCAAAAGCCCTTGAAGATCTGTTCATCACTGTTTCTTCAAGATCAAGCCCAAAAGCCCTTGAAGATCCGTTCATCACCGTTACTCAAGATCAAGCCCCAACGGCTCTTTGAAGATCCGCTCAAATCCACCTTCAAAGATCAAGCCCACGGCCCCTTGAAGAAACTTCCAACAGTTCATCCAAGATCAAGCCTCAACGGCCCTTGGATCAATCACACATCCACAAATATACACCTTATGGAGATCGAATCAGATGATCAAATTAGAGAGAGATTGTAACCCAAAATCATCAAACACATAATATTTGTTTGTGCACGTTGTTCTTGTCTCTTTTGTTTCAGGAATTTTCCGTGTTCACAAATTGGCACGCCTAGTGGGACAATCTCTACCTCTCATCTCTTTCTCCGTTCAAGAAATTCGAGCACACTTCCAAAATTAATGGCTTCAAGGAAGACTCAAACTGTTCCCGCAACTAGCGCAAAGAACAAGAGCGTCCTCGTCGCAAGAGGTGTCACTTTAGGCATCACGACTCGAAGCAAGGCAAGAGCTACTTCTGCCGCCTCTTTCACCTCTGCATCAACTCTGCCAAGGGAACAAGAGCACCCAAGGCACGAGCCTTTGATCACCTTAGCCTCACTAAAGGCACCAAAGGGCGAAAGTCCAAGGAAATACTCCGAATCCATGCTTTCCGATGCCGATTCGAGCGACAGTTCAGCCATGCAAGTCATGACCATTGGAGCAACTTCAATCGATGAGCAGCTGGCTCAAATGAATGAAGCAATCGCAAGGCTAACCCGAACTGTGGAAGAAAAAGACTTGCAAATCGCTGCACTCGTCAGCCGACTGGAGCCACAGGACGGCGATAACCCTAACCCAGAAGAGGAGCCTCTAGTGGAGAATATCGATGTGAAGTCGGAGACAGACCAAGCAGCGGCACTCATGGGATCTCTTTCTATCCAGCAACTGCAGGAGATGATCGCCAGCACCGTCAAGGCACAGTACGAAGGGAGCTCAAATACCTTCGGGTTGTACTCAAAGCCTTATTCAAAGAAGATTGATGCCCTAAAGATGCTGAGTGGATATCAACCACCAAAGTTCATGCAGTTTGATGGAAAAGGAAAGCCAAAGCAGCACGTTGCGCATTTCGTCAAAACTTGCAACAATGCGGGGACGGATGGAGACTACCTCGCCAAGCAGTTTGTGCGCTCGCTGAAAGGAAACGCCTTTGAGTGGTACACGGACCTAGAGCCTAAGTCCATCAACAGCTGGGAGCAATTGGAGTGGGAATTCCTCAACCGCTTCTACAGCACTCACCGCACTGTGAGCATGCTAGAGCTAATGAGCACAAAGCAATGGAAAGATGAGCTGGTCATTGACTACATCAACAGATGGCGCACTCTAAGCCTCGATTGTAAAGACAGGCTTTCAGAAACCTCTTCAATCGAGATGTGCATCCAAGGCATGCAATGGGATTTGCAATACATCCTTCAAGGCATCAAACCACGGACCTTCGAAGAGCTAGCCACCCGCGCCCATGACATGGAGTTGAGCATCGCCCATCATGGGAAGAAGGAACCGATCGCCGACTACAAGAACGATAAAGTTCTTGAGACAAAGGTGGAGAAGGCTGCATGGAAACCCACCAAGGAAGCGATGACGGTCAACACATCTCCCGTCAAAATCTCTACACGAGGCAAGGCGATTCAAGTCGAAGCTTTTCGTGATCAAGAGATGCGTAGACGCACTTTGAAGGAGCTTGAGGAGAAGACTTATCCATTCCCCGACTCTGATGTGGTTGCCATGCTGGATGACCTGTTGGACAAGAAGGTGATCGGTTTACCTGAGTGCAGATGGCCGGAAGAGATGAATCGTACCGACAGTCCAAGATACTGTAAATTCCACCGCTTCATCAGTCATCCGACAGAAAAATGCTTCGTGCTGAAAGATCTCATCATGAAGCTGGCTCAGAAAGGAATTATCGAGCTAGATCTTGACGATGTGGTGAAGTCAAATTATACCACCATCACTTATGGCTCTGTCAACTCAAAATTTTCACCTCCATCGTTGGGGGCATGCTCCAAAACCATGCCAGTCAAGCAAAGCAAAGTTGAAGAATGGACTCAAGTCACTCATAAGAAATTACCCAAGAAGCATACGTCTCCTCCACAAGTTCGCCAATCGGAAAGGGGGCAAAGCAGCTCTTGTCAACCTTCAAAGCAACGTGAACGTGTTGAAGATGATGAAACTTCAACACGAAGATCGTCCGTCCCCATCACAATGCGCGATTTCTTGCCCGAAGACTTCTTCAATCACTCGGTCAAGGCTCCTTGCTATGAAGATTGTGAGGAACGCCTTTCCAAAATTGCTTGACAAATTAACCAATGCTCCTTGTTCGCACGAGCCTAAACTGCACGAACCAATGCTCCTTGTTCGCACGAGCCTAAACTGCACAAACCAAAGCTCCTTGTCCGCACGAGCCTAAACTGTTGGACACGAGGCCCCTCGCCTGCACGAGCCTAAACTGCATGGCACAACGCTCCTGATCCGCACGAGCATAAAAGACGACACCAACGCTCCTGGTCTGCACGAGCATAAAAGGCAACACCAACGCTCCTGGCCTGCAAGAACATAAACTGTGTACGGCAAAATCATCATCAAAATCATCATCAAAACCATCATCAAAACCACCATCAAAACCGCCAAAAGCAATCCATCACCCATTTGAACTACGTTTTGACTTGATCTCTTTCTTTGGAAGGGTACGTAGGCAACTCGAATATTCAAAATTTGAGTTCAGTCACACCAAAATAAGGAATAAAGATTTAATTAAAAGTTTTGATGCTATTATAATTTCTTTGTACAAAAAAAAAAAAAAAAGGAAAAGAAAAAAAAATAATATATGAGTGTCTCGGCCCAACCCAGGACCGATCTCCCATCTCCTCATCGCCTCTCTTAAGAGAGCCCAAGCCCATCAGAGAAGAGGCTGCATCGAGCAGCAGCAGTAGCCACATTGTCAGCCATGGACCTCTCTTCGACGAAGAAGCCCTCTACATCAAGCACCGCCAGTTCCTCTACTACCGCGATGAGTTCGGTGACCTCGGCGAGCATGTGACAGTTGACCCCTCGCTGGTCTTCGAGAACGACCAGCTCCGGAACGCTTACATAGCTCTGCAGGCGTTGAAGCAGGCCATTCTTTCCGACCCGTTCAACATCACGGGCAATTGGGTCGGATCTAATGTCTGCAAGTACATCGGAGTTTTCTGCACCAAGGCGCCGACCTGAACAGAATCAAAGCCAATCTAAGTTGAGACTGAGCCCGCGAAGGCTGATAAGACTGGGTGGATAAAGCCGCAGGGAGCTTTGCCGTTATCGTTATTTGGGGAAGAGTAGGAAGAGGACTCCGGTGCGGGCGAGTCCAAGGTTGGGGACGTTGCAAACGAGGGATTTGCAAAAAAGGAGTCGAATTTGAATGTGAGAAGTGTTGGGATCGATGATTTGATTGCAAATTTGTACGGTCATAATCCAAAAGTCGTGGTTTGAAATGAGTCGGATTCGAATTTCGGTCCTGGAGGTTTCTGTCTCTCGATCTTCACGGCTTCTGCTCCCTCCTTCCTCATCGATCTCTCAAAAAACTAGGGTTTCTGCTTTCGAGCTCCAAATCCACCGACCTCCGTCATCCATCTTCGTCCTCCCGCCACCGTGCATACGTTGGCGTCGTCAACATTGTCACAGTCCTCGTCATCATCCTCAATGGTGGGTATAACAAGTACGAGCAGAGTCATGAGAGAGGCAGGTTTCTCCAGCACCAACGTCAAGAACAACTTGGAGGACTCATCAACGTCCTCCGTTTTCCAGTGTTATAGCAACTCCACCAACTCTTCCTCTTCACCCAATGCTTCGTCTCCGAATTCTCCTCCGGCAT